CGATATATGCTACAGCTGAGTGTCAGCAGGGACTCCCCTCAGATAGCCAAGCCTCTTCCCTCCAATCTGTGTTCATTCAGCAAAATCCATTCGAAGTAACAGCATTGCCAAGATGAGCTGTTAATGCTTTCATAGCTCATTCTTAACCACATAACCTTCCTTTTCTCTGCCTTTCTTTCTCATTGTTGATTTATATACTATTATTTCAGTGACCAAATTTGGAAATTTTGTATACCTCACTTACCTCTGTTACAGATGCTTGAAACTTTGGGGTTAGAGTGTGAAGCAAGAAAATATTTTTGGGGGGCTGGTGGGTATAGCACAGTGGTAGAACATGTACTTAATATGTTCTATTAAGTTTGATTCTCAGCACCAAGAAAGAAAAGAAAACGGTGCTAGAATGAACAGTAACTTTATAGACCCTTGTAATTCCTCCCATTGCTTATTACCAACAGCATTCTCAAGCTAATTACTAAGGACATGGTTGTTATGAAATCGGATTGGTGATTAATTTTAGTTTTAACATTTTTAGAAAGTAATAATTGATGTTATTTTTAATGAATGAGTCTCTTTAATCTTGGCATTGCTTAATATATTTTTACTATTGTGATGTATGGTTTGGGATACTACTTTGTTTCAGTGCTTCTCTTCACAAAATCCTTCCTTCCTTTTTCCTGTTCTTTCTTTCTCATCCCCACAGTAGTATGCTGGTTAAATTGAACCAACTTCTAAGAAAGCTACAGAATTGAATCTCATAACTTTTGTGGCAAAGCAGTGTATATATAGTCATCTTAGTTGTATGATGCCTTCTGTGATTTGTTGCAGCTCCATTCTGTTTCTTCTCTGTAGTTAAAGAGTAGGAAAGGAGACATCATTGGTATGTCTCTTGTCTTTTGAAGCAGGAGAACTATGGATGAATAATCTCAGTGTAATAAAATTCCTGGAAACCAATTCAAACCAATTTATAGCCTTATGATGGAGAGTAAAGAACAGGCAACATATTAAAGAGTATAAGTAGATGTACAGGAGATGTGAACAGAATGTTATTCCTAAAACATCCTAAGTCTGACAATACTTATCAGTATAGTTAGGAAGGTAGAAAGGTTAAATAGGCAAAAAACAACTAAATTAAAACAATCCCATTAGTTCATTGATTCAGCAAATACTAAAAAAAAAAAATTTTTTTTTGAGGACCATCTGTGTACCAGGCATGGTGCCAAATGGTGAGGACACAAATGCAAGTAGGAGTTAATACCCTCAAAAGGCATGTAGTTTGATTGGGAAGTTAAATAGATAAAAATTATAATGTGAAAGAAAGAGAAAATCATGATAATTTTTCTAATAAAAGTCATAGGTCCCTGTCAGGTATTGAAGAATTTTCACTGTTGTTAGTCTCAGAATCCTCCCATTTCATTGAGGTCCAGCTTGGTGTAATAGTAGCATAATCCTTAGAGTAAATTTTAGTGTTTTACATTTAAGTGTTTTATTAAGCTAAGTTTAGAATGAAAAGTAGACTAGTAGGGTGTTATAAAATTTGGAGTGTAAGATAATTTTGCAGTGTCAGGAGCAGAATTCTGGAATAGAAATTCTCCTAAGAGATCTTTCCACTAAAATCAGTGAATCTGTTTAAATGTATATGAAGTTTGTAAGTATGCTCATTTTATCTTCTTGTGAACATGCTAGAGAAGGAGTAGCCTGGCTTTTAGCCTATTTCTTTTTTTATCTTCCAAAGCAGTTGGCAGGAATTTTTATAAATCTAGCGTGATTGTAGCCTAAAGAGAGAATGCTGATTTGAGGAGAAAATTGCCTTCTAGGCCACCCATCAGAGCATTGTTTTAAATTTATAGTGAACTGGGTGGGAGCAGAGCTTCATAGACACATCAGTAGTTTGTATTTTCTTCATCAAAAAATTGCCACGCTAGATTTAATCATATGTGTCAATGTGTGACACTATTAGCCTTAGCCAACATATACTTCTCCTGGCTTCTGTGAATTAATGATAAATATTCAAAAAAGGAGGAATGGTTATACCTAGAAATCAGTTTTGTTATTGAACTTCTCATTTTTTTTTTTTTGGCATAAATTCACTAAGAAAAGTAACTTTAGAGGGTAAAGAAAGAAACTAGGCTTCAGAGAATTACATGGTGACAGAACTGGCACTCAAACCAAAATAGTCCTCACAGTCCACTGAAAGAAACTAGTCTACAGAATTTAATACTTTGCATAAATTAAGAACAATTTAGGTTTATATTTATTAACAAAATCTATGGTCACAATATATAATCTTTAAGTATAAAAACACAGATTATAGGGGTTGAGGCTGTAGCTCAGTGGTAGAGGACATGCCTTACAAGTATAGGATGATCCCAATTTTGATTTTAAAATGAGTATACAGGGCTAGGTTTGTGGCTCAATGGTAGAGTGCTCACCTAGCACATGCGAGGCCCTGGGTTTGATTCTTAGCACTACATAAAAATAAATAAATAAAATAAAGGTACTATGTTCATCTACAACTAAAAAAATTATTTTTATTTTATTTAGTTATAGATAGACACAATATTTTTATTTTGTTTATTTATTTTTATGTGATGCTGAGGATCGAATCTAGTACCTAACTTTTTCTAGGCAAGTACTCTATACCACTGAGCCACAAACCCAGCCCCCCCCCCCCCAAGTAATTTTCATTTTTTAAAAAACTAGAATAATTGAGGGGAAATTTCTAAAAACATTTTAATGTACTTATTTTATTCCTCTTGAGCTTTTTTTAAAAACAGCTTTTTAAGATATGAATTCCCATACCATAAAGTTCACCTGTTCAAAGTATACAATTTAGTGGCTTTCGGCATGTTAAATGTTTTACACCAGTCACCTTACCTACTTCTAGAACATTTTGTCACCAATAATCCTTGACCATTAGCAGTCACACCCCATCTCCTCCTCCCCTCAACTCTTCAATTTTGAGTCATTTGAATGTATTTTACTCATTCAAAAATATTTTTAAAAAATGCCTACATATGTTTTTCAGCCTTAAAAAGGAAAAAATTATGATATATGCCACAACACAGATGAACCTTGAGGACATTAGGCTAGGTGACATGAGATACAATCATAGACACAAACTATAGATTCCACTTCCATGATTGTCTAGAATAGTCAAATTTATGAAAATAGAAAGTAGAATAGTGCTGCTAGAAGGCTAAGAGGAGAAGGGAATGTGGAGTTCTGGTGTAATTGGTTAGAATCTCAATTTTGCAAGTTGGATGGTAGTGATGATTTTATAGCAATATAAATGTACTTAATGCCACTAAACTGCATACTTGAATATAGTTAAAATGATAAATATTATGCTATATGTATTTTACCTCAATAAAAAATTGGGAAGATATTTGCATAGAATTCTACTTATGGATATTAAATTATTTTATTTATAACTACTAATAAATATTCTTCACTATTGTGAATGGTACTTTTGTACACCTATCTTTGTACACATATCCAAACTCTTCTTGAGGATAAATTGGCAAAGATGTAAATGATGGATTAAAGTATGCACAATTTCAATTTGGGCATACAAATTATTTCTCAAAGTGCCTTTACAGATTTAAACTTCCACCATGCAATGTCTAGAAATAGCCATTTCATTTCCCCATACTTTTTTTTGGAGCGGGGTGCATGGGGGTGATTACTGGGGACTGAACCCAAGGGCACTTAACTTAACCTCAGCTCTGTTTATTTTTTATTTTGAGACAGGGTCTCACTAAGTTGCTGAGGCTGGCTTTGAACTTGCCATCCTCTCACCTCAGCCTTCTGAGCAGCTGGGATTACAGGCCTGCACCACAGCACTCAGTCTCATTTCCCCATACTTTTGACTGGTTATTTTAATTTCTTTTTTATTTTATTTTTTTACATTTTTTTTATTGTAAGTAAGGCTGAATATCTATTTACATATCTACTAGCACTATGTATTCCCTCTTGTGATTCAGCTGTTCTTGTCCTTCCCCATTTTATTACTGGGACATTTTTTAAAAAATCTATTTTAAGACATCTTTATGTTAGGAAAATAATCTTTTACTTCCTGTGTATGTTACAAATATTTTTTGAACTCTTTTAATTTTTCTTTTCACAATGTTATGGTGACTTTTAAAGGGAAGAATAGGGGAGGGTTAGAGGGTATTATTTATTTTTTGCAGTACTTTGTTGGAAGCTTGAAACCAGGCCTTGGCACAATAAGCAAGTGCTCTGTGACAGAGCAACAACCCCAACCCCCAGTTTTTTGTTATTAATGCAAAGACATCAGCTTTTTAAAATAGTTTCCAGCTGGGGTATTATTTTATTAGCAAGTAGTCTTCTAATGCTTAAAAAGCACTACTTTTTCTTACCAAGAATAAACTTATAATAAATTATTAGGTATTTTAATTTTAATTTATGAATATGATTCTTAAAATGCATTTAAATGCCAGCATATTTTAAAGATTTTTAACAACTGTAGAAGATCAAGATTCTCAATGAAAAGATGTATTAACTAGCTAACATGTGTGAAGCACTGATCCTCAGCACCACATAAAAATAAAATAGATATTGTGTCCACCTATAACTAAAAAATAGATCTTTAAAATAAAAAGATGTATTAAGATACTGATTCTCTGAAGCCAGTTCTGTCACCATGTGTTCTTAGGTTACTTAAACCTCCCTAAGCTCAGTGTCCTTGTCAGAAAATCGAAATTAATAGTACACCTGTTGGAGCCGGTTGCAGAGTCGTACACCTGTAATCCCAGTGACTCTGGAGGCTGAGCAGTTTGAGGCCAGTCTGGTAATGTAACAAGACCCTGTCTCAAAATAAAAAGGGCTATCGATGTGGCTCAGTGGTAAAACAGAATAAGTTGAATCCTGATTTGCTGAAAGCAGACCTTGTAGCTATTTTCAGCTCCTCCCAAGCTGCTCTGTTTTTGCTACTTGAGAGGGAAAGCTGATTTGGGTTTTTCTTTTTGTCTTGGTTCTAGCACATGCAGATGACAATCCAGGCTCTCCAGGATGAATTGCGAATCCAGAGGGACCTGAATCAGTTGTTTCAGCAAGACAGTAGCAGTAGGACAGGTGAACCTTGTGTAGCAGAGCTGACAGAGGAGAACTTCCAGAGGCTGCATGCTGAGCATGAGCGGCAGGCCAAAGAGCTGTTCCTTCTACGAAAGACCCTGGAGGAAATGGAGCTTCGTATTGAGACACAGAAGCAAACCTTAAATGCTAGGGATGAGTCCATTAAGAAGCTTTTGGAGATGTTGCAGAGCAAAGGTCTGTCTGCCAAGGCTACTGAGGAAGACCATGAAAGAACAAGACGGCTGGCAGAGGCAGAGATGCATGTCCACCACCTAGAAAGCCTTTTGGAACAGAAGGAAAAAGAAAACAATATGTTGAGAGAGGTGAGTGACCACTTCTTCGGTTGTGATTTCTTTTTGCCTTTTCCCCCTTATTTTAATCAGCTTCTTGGCCTAGTTAAATTTATATGCTCTACCATGCTATTAGAAGGGGGTTTTGTCTTTTTTGTTTAAGTGCTTCACTGATTTCTATTCTGATTTGCTGTCTTACTTGTAAGAGATGACATCATCTGGAATACATGCTGGCTCCACAGCTTTCTGGAATCTCCTGCCCTTCACCGCACACATACCTGATTTCTAGATGCTGGTTGATGCTTGAGGGGCATAGAATTACTTACCTATAGATTTATTCACAGAGACAACACAACAAAAGCAGTAGCTAACTATTGTTGAATTTTAAAATATTAATAAGAGAAAGTAAGCTGGTACCTTAGTTTACGTGTATTTACAATGTCCTTGGAAGCAGTAGTGGATGTTTGCCTTGTGGTTTCCATGGAAACTGTTGCCTTGCTATAAAAGAGATAAAAATCATTTGCTACCATGGAGGCTCAGATGGAAAGAATGACACAGAGACACACTCTTACTTATTTTTTGAGAGGAAACTCAGATTTGAGCTGATATGTGTGACTATTGATATTTTTTCACTTTTCTAGGTAATGCTTCATTTTAAGGAAGCATAAGAAGAATTCATCTTACGTTAAAATAAATTAATAGCTATAATAACTTATGGTCAGATTTAGGATAACTCACATTTGGATACAGGGCAAAATCCCCAAACTTTGTTAGTGGGTCTCAGTAATCCCTTTTTAAATAAATTGCAAAGAAAGAGATTTAAAAAAATGATATATGGGCTGGGATTGTGGGTCAGTGGTAGTGTGCTTGCCTAGCATATGTGAGGCACTGGGTTTGATTCTCAGTACCACATTTAAATAAATAGAAAAAAAGGTCCATTGACAATTAAAAAAATATTTTTAAAAAAGACATTTTCAAAGCAGCAAAAGTAGTAATTGAAAAAATACTTCTCTAAGTTTGTAGTTTGTTCCATAATTTCCCCTTTTGTAAAAAAAGAAAAAAATTAATCTGCAATCTTTATTTACAGCTGGGGCATTTTATTTTTAAAAATTTCATTGTTTTTTTTAAAACAATTGATTTTAGTACATAGAAAATCCATTGTAGTTGATTATTTTTAAATTTAGAAAATAAGATGAGCAAAAACTTAAAAACCCAACGTATTACTAACAACTAAAAGTTGTTATTTGTTATTTAAATGTTTCCAGTTTTTTTCCCCCCTGTACTGGATTGAACCCAGAGGTGCTCTGCCACTAAGGTATATTCCAAGACCTTGTTATGTTTTATTTTGATAAAGAATCTGAGTTTGCCCAGGTTGGCTTCCAATTTGTAATCCTCATGTTTCACTATAGTCATTTTTTCCCTACATATGTTTATTTCATTATTTCTGTTTCTTTTTCTATTCAGTAATACTTCTATAATGGTGGAAATATTCCATATCTGCTCTGTCAGAAATGGTAGCCAATAGCTGCATGTGGCTCTTTAAGCGGTTGAAATGTGGCTAGTGTGACTGAGGAACTTAATTTTAAATTTATTTAAATGTAACTTTTATAGATAAATAAAATTTTTATTAGTATATACATTTAACTAATGCCTGCTGTTTTAGTACAACTAAGCATAATATGATGTCTTATGTTTTTTTTTTTTCATAAATTGCCTTGACCATCTTTCTCCATCATTTCTTACAGATTTTGGTAATTTCACATGACTTTATAATATTCCATTGCATTTATTTGAACATCTTTTCCTGTTGAAAATTTGCAATTTTCAGTATTATAAAACACTGATGCACTGAATGAATGTTCTTAACTATATATCCATGTATGTTTTTTGATTTTTTTTTTTTGGTGGGGTGGGTAAATTCATAGAAAGAAATTTGCTTAAATGGTGTGTACATTTTCAAAATTTGAATACACTTGTCCTCTAGAGTGGTTGGGCCATTTTATACTACAAGCAATATGTACTGTTTTGTGATTAATCTCAGCTATGTACATACTACACTCTTCAAATTACCATAATGTATTGTCTGAGGACACTTTCTGTCATATACCATGTTACAAAAAATCCTGAGTTTCTTTCAGTTTACATTCAAGACTTTATAATTTAATAAGATAGATCAGAGCCTGGCTGTAGATCAGTGTTGAAGAAATTCTCATAATCTCAAAGAGACCATGCAACATGAAAACTATACCAGCATCATGATGAAATGTGAATGTTAAATTTTTGCTGCTTGTCTTGTTCTGAATATTTCAGCCTGTGCTAGTTCTTTGAGTTTTGGAGTTCATAAATGCTGAATAGCTAAAGATTGTAGAAAGCCACAGGGAACAATAAGAAATACGGTAAATTTGAAAGAGTAGTGGGAAAACCCAAGAATTAAGGATGAGTTTTTAAAAACAAGAAAATCTACAAATATTAAGTCTTATGTACATAATGTGGGAAGAAATGTAGGCCTTGCTAATAATCATACCAATACACAATTTCAGGTTGCCATTAGTAACATAGCATCATCTTATAAGAAATGTAAACATACTATTTACAATTATTTGAGAGCAAGTGTAAATGATTTCTTCACAAAGTTTTGGAATATTTATTCTCCTTTCTGTTTCTCATACTTGCCTTTAAGATTTTAGGTTTTAATTCTGTGAAGTCTCCCTCTGTAGCTTTGGTATTGTATTGATCATACATATGTACACTTCCGTATGTATTTCTTCATTGTTGTTCACATAATATTTTGCACCAGGGTTATATATTTTCTTAGTCTTGGCTGCAATGACAAAGATTACTATAGATTGGGTGGCTTTTACAGCAACACTTGTTTCTTACAGTTCTGGAGGTTGGAGAGTCCAAGATCAAGGTACAGGTGTCTGATGAGGACCTGTTTCCTCTCTCTTAAGACTGCTGTCATCTTCCTGTGACCCCCTTCTCACATGGTGACAAAGGGCAAGAGAGGTCCCTTTTATAAGGGCACTAATCCCATGAATAGGATTATCCTCAAAGCCTAATTAACCCCTTTTCCTCTTACCATCACACTGAGGATTTAGGGTTTCAACATATGAGTTTTATGGGAACACAAATCATTTTTTATCTGTATAGTGCCAGTGTCTGACAAGTCCACAATATTTGTTAATAAATGCTTGTTGAATAAATTGAAATATTGGCAGAGATAATTAAATCTATTTAAAGAAAGAAGGATAACTCCCTCCTCCCAAAATGGATAAAGGTCAAAACCAAACCTCCAAAGTTATGTTATATGCACCTATAGTCCCAACTACTCAGGAAGCTGAGGCAGGAAGATTACTTGATCCCAGGATTTGAGGTCAGCCTGGGCAACATAGTGAGACCCATATAGAAAAATAAAGGAAACAACAATGGCGAACTCCTTCTAACCAGTTTTGCTTATATATTTAGATATGAACATTACAATAAAATATTAGCAGATAGGGTTAGCATTATGATAAAGGAAAATACTACATGACCAAAAGGAGTTTATTTCAGGAATGATAGGATGACTTAATACATAATTTTATTTGTTTTAGGTGAAAGGAAAAGAGAATCTCATGGTGTTTGTTGGCTATTGTAAAATGTTATATATTTTGACAATCAGTTCAAATAAACTCTTAATAAAGTAATAATTGAATGATATTTTATATCCTGTTTTAAATAAATAATAGTACAATAAATGTACTTTGAAAACACATATTTCACACTAATAGCCAGCATTATGCTTACTGATGATCACATACTGGAAATGCTTACTGAAGTTAGGAAGTGGTCACAGAGGTTTGTTCTTATTAGTATTTGACATTATTTTGGAAATGTTAGGTAGATAAGAAAATTGAATAAATAGCATCATTAATGAAAAGGATGGAGCATAATTTTCATTATTGCATAGTTAGAAACACTAATATAAATATGTCAGCTTCCCCCAAATCTATAACTGTAGCAGAACTGCAATGGGAATATTCTTGAAACATGCCCAAATGGTTTTGCAGTTTATTTGTGAGAACAATGCAAGTGGACTTACCTAAGTAAATCATGATACATGATCCATTGGATTAAAATGTGTGGAACTGGCACATAAGTAGATAACTATATCAAGGAAACAGAATTGAACCCAGAGTTAATATAAAGATGACATGAATTGAGTATAATGGCTGTCATTTGGAAAACACTCATCTTAGTTATACCACATTAAATGCCAGATGAAATAAAGAGCTAATTTTTAAAAAATTCTTTCAAATTTTTTATACATTTATTTATTTATTTATTTATTTTTACGTGGTGCCGAGGATTAAACCAGGGTCTGACATATGCTAGGCAAGCGCTCTACCGCTGAGCCACAAGCCCAGCCCCAAAGAGGTAATTTTTTAAAAATACTTTTTTAGTTATACATGGACATAATATCTTTATTTTGTTTGCTTATTTTTATGTGGTGCTGAGGATCGAACCCAGTGCCTCACATACGTGAGGCAAGTGCTCTGCCACTGAGCCACAACCCCAGCCCTAAAGAGCTAATAAAAAAAAAATGTTTATTTTTTTGGTGTAGAGGGACACAACACAATGCCTTTATTTTTATGTGGTGCTGAGGATCGAACCCTGGTCTCGCCTGTGCTAGGGGAGCGCTCTACTGCTGAGCCACAATCCCAGCCCCCTAAAGAGCTAATTTTTTAAAAATAAAAACATTAGAAGAAAATGTAAGCAAAAAGATTTTAATAAAATCCTTGACAATTAAGACTTATTACCATAGCAAGAACCTTAAAAAATTAAACATGTTTGCTAGAAGATATAATCTAAAGCTATAATGATATTTTAGGGTAAAGTTTTGTAACATGATTAGACTGTTACATAAAGATTGTTTCCAAAGCAGTAAGATGCTGGAAGCGCTTTGTGTGTCTGAATCAATCTCTCTGTCTTTCTGTCTCTCTCTCACTCATCTAACATTTATTAAGCCTGTAGTGTGTATTTCATCTTGGAAT